AAAATCCACCGTATTATTTACACATAATAGCTTGCACTTGATGCTTCATCTATTAGGCTTCTTTATTTGTTTTTTTAAAAGGGGTAGGAAGAAAACTTGCCTTCTTACAAGATGATGGGGACATGGGGTATTGCAGCTTCTGCCTCAGACAGCCTCAGGAGCATGACTCAACATGAAGTAAATGATTTTTTTTTTCCTTTTGGAACTCCTTTTTCCATCACAAAGAGTCAAAGAGGAACCCTCATCTGGTTCTGGTCTCTATGTGATTGGAAGTTTGCAACTCCAATTCAATGGAACTTGCAAAGACTCCTCTAGTGCTAGGAAAAGTAATGGCAACTAGATTGTCATTTGCAAGGACGTGTGGATGCATGGAGAAAATTTTACTGTCTCGCGTTTCAGTATTTGTGTAAAGAAAAAACTTGGACCAGCGACCCTAAGACATCAAAAAATTAGAGCAGCTAACACGATGGACAGGGAACAAACAAGAGCTGAAAGAAACGTGATGCTAGGTACAAATCCTATATGGGCCTCATCTCCACAGGGTATGCGCCATGCAGCTTTGTCCAGGGGTGCAGCTTTAAGATTCTTAATCACCCAAAGACAGGAATCAGAATGGATTTCCTTTTTTCTGTAGCGGAGGAACAGATCTGGGTTACCAAACTCCACTGTGGCATAGCCACTGGCATCAAGAGGCTGCAAATAAGCATCACAGTCAGTAGTCAACAAAGTTTATTCAGAAATGTTCTGACAAATGATTATTACTAAATATGCCTATGAGAAATTGACCAAGATAAACAATGAAACATGTATTTATTTCAAAACACCATGCATTTCAGGCATGTTTGTAGCATTGCAAAACATGGAAATGGCAAGGTGGTCAACATGACCATCACTAGGAAATATTGTTTTCTATTGTTTTTTCATTTTCACATTGCTTGGAGTTGGAGCACCATCAATTCTCTCCGAAACATTGAGCATGAACATCACATATATAAGTATTCCACCACCTATTATTCCCTAGCAAGAGGAAATCATATGCAATAATAGAACTTTCTCTTCACAACCTGAGTTGCCTAATCACATAATTCAGTTGTCTGTTCTGTGTATCCCAACTTTAACACTTTCCAAGATATAAATTAAGACATATACACAATTACACAGTAGAGCAAAATACAAGGATATACAATGCAGCAAACGTTTTAAGCTCAAACTTAATTTAAACAAGTAGGGCCTACAAAACACAACTATACCAAAATAGTCATTTTCAGTTCGTTACTCATATAATCATCTAACTCTCATTTCTCTGTCTCCCAGTTGACTCTGCAACTGAAGTTATTTTTACAGTAATCCATCGGAATTCTAAACAATGCCAGGATTTTTTTTCCTTCTTCTAAATTTCTTGGAAACCTTTAAAGGTACCATGCACAAGGGGTGGCCCATCACAGTTGCATAAATCCATAGAAACTGGCAAGATAGTATTTTGCATTAAAAGCAGAACCAAACAGAAATTATTAAAGTAGTTGGATAGCTTATCTATATATTAATTAGGCCCATGTTCGGTACAAACATGTCAAAGAGAGAGGCAAACATATATATATACTATTATTATGCATTAGCGTGGCCCAATATAAGAGCTTCTATGTTCCGGCATGCATTGTTTGATGTCCATCATGGAAATAATATACCACTAACCATCACCAAGTTGTTGAATATTTTAAACATTCGTGCAAATCAATTTCTAGGCAAATATGAATATTTTATTTGCATACAGAATTTTCAGTACAGAGGCATATCCTAAGCTAGTAGGCTACAAGGCAAAAACAAGTAATGTTCAATTGCAGATAGCAGGGACTAAATAATTCAAATGAACCTCTTTTTTTTCACTGGTAGTCTATAGAACCTTACCGGGTATCTAGCATGGAGAGGCATGTCTATTACAAGGCTACAGTTGGTAGAAATGATTAGCCTGAGATCAAAATGAATCTCAACAGATGACCGATTGGATAGAGCTGTGGGCAGTTCAAGGTTGGTGTCTCCAAAAACAGCAACATCAACGAAAACTGCAAGATTTTTTAACCAAAAAAATTAGCAAAATACAAATAATAATGCAGTTCTACAGTATATCTCAGATTCAGATTTCACCTTTGTGCTCAACAAAATGCTGTAGCTCAAATGGGTCAGCAAACACCCCGTCGGGGAGTTTTTCAAATATCACCAGATGGGCATCATAGCCATCAAGGAAATTAACCATAGCACCTTCACAGGCACCAAAATCCATAGAGTAGACTAAACGGCGGTGAGAACCTTCACCAACCAGTTGCCGGTGCAATTTTGAGAGCATAGGCACTTCAACATCATCAGTAAGTCCTTTGCACAATTCACCAGAATCAGACATTTGCGCTAAGTCACGACGCTGAGCAAGTTGGCCCGTCAAGGTGTCATCGAGATATGCATCACCAATGTACGCCATAGAGCAGGGCATGCATTTGATGGATTTGTGGCTTCCGCCTGCCTGTGCAATGCATTAATTAAAACTTACCCACATAAGCATCAACCAAATCTGAACGGAAATATTATTAGAAGCAGGGTGCATCTTAAAATCCAAACGAGATACAGCTAATTACCCTCAGGCCACCCAACTCAAACAAGCACACATTTAAGTCGAACTTGGGATAGATCGACGCTTACACTAAAAGAGTACAAGTACAGTAAAATTCAGCATCAGCTAAAAACGAACGATTTCCGTAACCCTTCCACACAGTATACATGAACGCGCACCACGGCCCCAGCACCAGCAAATCCGAACCAACAAAGCATCATAATTTCCGCACAAAACTGCGCACAAGTAAATCCGCGTGAACCAGGAGAGCCCATCCACCCCCACGTACCTGCTCAGCCGACGACGAGGCGGCGGCCGCCGCCCCGGAGATCCAAGCGGCGGCGAGCGCCACGGCGAGCAAGCATCGCCCGCCCCCCGCTGCCATTTGTCAGGAGGAGGAGAAGGCGGCGCAAGGAACTTGTGGGTAGAGATCGGAGAAAGAAGTAGGGGCGCACCCCTCTCGGCTCTCGCCGGCGTCGGGGAGGCGCGGATCTCGTCGCGGCGGACGCCAGAGGGCCGGCCTGGTCGACGGCGATGGCGGGGCCTGGCCTGGGCCGAGCTGGTCCGTCTCAATAAATTTGGCTGGGCCAACTGTAGTACTGGACTCAACTAGGCCATTTGGGGCTTTCTGGTATTGCACGTGGTTGTGGTTTGATACAATACAATGATACTGCCTCCATTTCAAAATTTATGGGTTTGAGCTTAAAAAAAAATGTATGGGTTTGTTGGATTATTATCAGTAGGATTTTTTTTAAAAAAAAACAAGTATCATGAACTTTTTTTTCCCAAAATACAGGCTCTTACATAACAGGAGCAGCAGATCTTGAGATTGGTAAGTGATGACTGACGTCCCATTGTCGACTACCACGTCATCTATCACTAAAAAAAAAAGTCTTGTTAAATCCAAAGATAGATCTAAAAAATGTGAGCACCCACATCAAATCAACAACTTTAAAAAGATGACAAGTTCCACACAAGTAACCTAACCAGTGAGCTATGCTTAGTTTGCTAAATCATGAAATTTGACAATTAGTTAATCAAAACATATGTACAATGTGCATAAACAATGTTTCACATATCTCTTATTAAAACATTGATTTTTTAGGTCATTCTCAATGGAGAGTTTTATAAAGTTGTTTCTAAAAACATAGAATGCAATGAAACTTGGATGAAACCATCACTCTCAATACATAGTTCCATCCTTTTGTTTCATAGACATTTAATTATATGACTCATCTTGAGTTGGTAACCGAGACAAGAGAGTTCCATCCCCATGGAACTAATTTCTTCTCTCCCATCTTAAAAATGTTACCACATCATCAAAAACGCTTATGTGACAACTTATTAAATGCAAATAAAACTCTGATGGAACTCCCACCGAGAATTACCCTAGTAACTAATAACATAGTTTATACGATACATTAATTTTCAAAGCATACATTGTGTTGAAACGATAAATCAACATATTCATATTTCATAGGAGTATATTTTACACTTCTCCTATATTTCAGGTGCCTTAAGATGATTTTAGGCAACACTCTTGTAACACCAACTAGTACAAGTAAATTGTTATTTTTGTGATTTGTTATTTGTCTTTGTGTCGTAAGATATTAAATTTTGTCCTTTACTTTCTATTAAAATAATTATAAATTGTTAATTGTCTTTGTGCCAACATAAATCAGATTTTGTCGGGTCCGTGGTTTTGTCTAACAGGTTTTTTTTATATCGATACCGAAAATTGCAGATTACACCTATAAAAATTACAATGAACGAAATCTTCAATTTTAGTATAGAATATATGCAATAAACATTGCCTGAAAGGAGACTAAAATTCAGACACATGAATTTTAGTATGTCCCTATATTTTAATGAAAAAAATGATTTTGTAGTAACTAATGACATATTTTAAGATACATTAATGGTGAAAAGCATATATTGACGCCTTTATAACAAGATAAACGTAGAGAGTACTTCCTATTAGCGCTTCAATCTTTTGGATTGGCAGTAACTCTTGGTTCTAGTTTGGGGACAGTAAACTAATTGACCCTTATAATTTCTTAATCTGAGATAACGAAATTCGAGTTTTACCCATTGTGGGGAATAAACGTAAATGTGTAAAGGGGAAGTGAACTAGAGAACTGAGCAAAGAGTTCACCATTACATATGGTCTTTTCAATTTCCCTATCTGAAAACTTACATGTATTGTTTTCCTATAAAAAGTAAAAAGACACTTGCAATAAGTTTTCGCAGCAACGGGTTCTTTCTCCTCTTGATTTACAGCCAAATTCCCTCATTTGGTATGTAACTATGTATACCAGTATATGTATAACCGAAACCAAAATCCTCCAATGTGGAGTATACTCACAAATGGAAGAATGCCCCCTTCTTTACTTCAGTTGCTTTAATATGGGAAAGTCCCTGTCAACTTAATATGATCAAGGGTTCTTTTCAAGCCATAGCGCTCAACAGCCGGATAGCCAGCTCTAAAACCACCTCCATATGCCTCAGAAGAATCCGTTTCGATCTGGTGCTTGATGAATGCCCCAAGCTTCTTCTCGAATTCGGTCTTTGCACCCTTCTTTGAAGAGGTAGGACCTGAGGATGACGAAGATGATGATTCTGAACTGGATGCGACGTTGCTACTAGAACCAGCGATGATTTCTGACTCTAACCACAAGTAGGCCAGAACTTGGCAGATGCCTTCTTCAACCTCAATACTAAGATTTCGGAATCCTACAGAAAGAAAAATCATGTCAGCAACAAAGAGTACCAATTGTCTATCTTTCTTTTGGAAGAAAATGAACCTCAATACTAAGATTTCGGAATCCTACAGAAAGAAAAATAATGTCAGCAACAAGAGTACCAATTGTCCATCTTTCTTTTGGAAGAAAATGAGTGCAGAAAGTGATAGTGATACATGTCAGGCCCAAAAAAATATTAGCATAAATAAATTACCTTTGAGACGAAGATATGCATGCATCATCTCATGGGCAAGAATGGAACCAGTTTGTAATCTGCGTAGCCATCATATTAACAAGTAAGTAGATACTACCTAGCTATGCTTCAAACATAAGAACTTCACGACTTCATGATCCATTAGAGGTTCATTCACAATGGAAGTGGCAGAAGCCTTGAAGGATGACATTAGTAAAACAATCAAGGAGGAAAAAAATAAAGGTAAAATAATTTACCTTGGCAGACCATATAATATAAGGATTGCAGTCACTTCACACAGCCGAGACAGCTTATATGGTCCTATAATCATATCTATGATTCTGTTTCCTGGTCCAATCTTTGGTCTTTTTAAGATCTGGAAGAATTATATCACTCAGTACATGCATCTCCTAAAGTTTACCTGTGTTAGTAGTCAAATCAGCAGAGAAATGCAACTAAAGAACTCACCGTTCTAACAATTTGCTCTTCAGAAAGACATAGACCTCTGGTTTCTGGTAGGTGGTGCCCCTTGAACAAAGCAAAAAAGCAAAATAAAATGTCATAAGTTAGGGAGTACGTCAAGTATTGTGCACCAAATAACCAGTTCATGTCACTTACATTTTTCTCAGCTTCCAAGGCTTCATTCAGAGCCTGCCTCTCAACCAAAAGTAATGGAATTTGCTGTTCTACTTTCATGTTCAAACCTTCAAAAAATTCCTGAATATCCATGTAAAGATGTTGACATTCTGGAGTATCCATTACTGAAGAAGTGAGACATTCCAAGCAGAGTTTCCTCCCATCATCTAATGTTATGTACTTGATCTCCCTTGGCTGAATTTTTCAGGATGGAAGGAGCATAAGAACATAGACACCCAGGGCAACTTGTAATGTCATAGAAAGAGCAAAGTTGAAAATGAATAATTGCAGAAGAAATAAAAGAACCAATAAAGGCACAAAACTTAATTGCAAATGAACTGTGTATTGCCTCCGTATGCTGAGCCCACATATTGCCTGGACTTAGAAAGAGTACCCTGCTTACACTTGTGTCGTCATTTGTGCAAAAGGATTAAGTGAGAGGTCAGAAGCTGGGCTATATATGCTGGCTCCAACATATCTAAAATATCCATGCAGATCTCTATTTTCAGACCACACCATAACAACAGGTGACACAGGCCAATATCACTAGTTGGCTCGGGTATTACATACCATGCTGGCATTCTAAAACTAGCAGTGAAGTGCAATGGTCGCAACTGAGAATTGTAACAACAAAATGAAAAAACTGGACCTGCTGGGGGAAAGCCATCCCCCGGGCATTGCATTAAGAAGAAGAACCTTCTCACGCAGGTCCAGAAAACCCCCGAACCCCTGCCCCACCCATACACAGCGGCACCGTACCCCTGTGAGAACAGGGCCGTTCCTTAGACCTGTGCTTTGGCGTGGGACAGACGAGGGGATTTTTTTAACCCCAGCCTGAAATTCGCTCCCACGGGGAGTCGAACCCAGGACCCTGAGGAGTGCCGCTGGGACGCTCTAACCAGTTGGACTAGAGGCCCTTTGGCTTGTAACAACAAAATGACTAAATGATGTAGCTACTCAATCTATTCAGCGATGATGTATAGGGATCTATACTGATTCCAAGCAAATCTGCTGTATTTTCTAAATGTTAGTCAAAACTGACCGGCTTCCAAACAGGAATTGAACAGGGAAACTGGTCTCGTTGACAGATATAAAACCCTGTACTGACCTCCATTCGTTCACAACTGCAGCACCTAGGAGTGCCATCATCTTCATGGGAAGGACAGTACTTCTGCATCCAGAAAGGATGTGCTCTGTATTCAATGAGGCCATCTCTATTTGTTGAAATCTGAGGAAGAAAGACATAATAATTGCAGTTATACAGACGGATCAGAAATATAATTCTGATTAAAATACCTTCATGCTTATCCATACACTTGAATTGTGGGCACTTACAAAGTTGTTGCAGACATCACATTTTGGATGAAAAAACTCTTTGTAGCAGGATTTGTGGTACGGCTGATCATCATGCATAGCAAACTGCACAAAGATGCATTATCATCAATTAGTTGATCAATTTGAAGAACACTAAATGGAAAAAAAATACTACTCTGATACTCTCGTACCTCATACTCTGATATGGGCTTGTTGCAAGCAAAACATCTGAAGCATTGCGGATGCCAAACTGAACCCATACAGCTAAGGAAACGCCCATGGCCAATCGGGTTGTGGCATCCAGCACAAATCCTACACAAATAACAGGACTTCTGGTCAAGTCAATGCTGGAAAAGAACTAGTGACATCTAACAATGATAATAGACACACGGAATGGGCCACGAAGCTGATATATGCAGGTAAGCATATGATGACTTAATTGCACACGCTGTGCTAGCATATGTGCAGAGCTAATCATTCCATGAGTTCTTTTGGTACTAGCAAGATGACACTAACAGCTACTTCTATATGTATTGTCATCCAATTAGCGGTTGAATTCAGATCACCTAAGAGGGTAGCATGATAAGACCATACATGTTTAGACCATTTTTTAATATAGAAACGAAACAGGAGATTTGTATGACTTCTTAGTTCTTTACAACTAAAATATCAACTAAATCAGCGCAAAAAATAAGTACCTGGATCCACTCTGTGGGTAAACTAGTGTAGGTGGCTCATTTGCTGGAACATACTGCTGAGGAGGCACACGCTCAACAGGAACATCCCATCGAGGAGGCACTGGCACATCCTCAATAGGAACATTCCGTCGAGGAGGAGACTCTGCATTGAGGCTCTCCTGCAGAGCCCGTGCAAGTTGTTCATCTTCCTCCAAATTATAGTCAGTATCTACATTAAAATTCAGCAATGGTGTAGTCTAGATCAATTTCATTTACAAAGTTACTGTTCCCAAGGAGATGAATTCTATCATATGGGACAAGATGGTCATCAATGATGGCATAAACAAAGAGGTAAAAACAGGATATGAATAGCTAGGCAAACACTAACCAATAGCCGCCGCCTTTCCCTTATTCTGATCTTCCTCAGCTAGCGATAATGCAATAGCACGATCCATATCTTCATTATCACTGTCATCGTAAGTATCCTACAGTAATGAGGACAAGCAACATTGAATGCCATTTCTTTTGTCTCAGGATAATACATTCTATAGAACATGAACAATCACGTTAAAAGTTGTAAGATTAAAACTTATTTGTTTAGGCATAGGTTATATGAACGGATACATCCAGCTGCAGTAGAAACTAGGAAGGATAAAGGAATGCACATGGCAGATGGTGTTCAACAGCAGAGCACATGGGTAGAGTCTTACTCTGATGTGATCAGATGAATGGCCTTCATGCCAGTCTCCATCATAGTGACCCCTTGAAACTCTTCTGTTTACTGAACCCTTGAAAATTTCTTTGAACCAACTCATGATCTTGAGCTTATGTGATGGTCAAAATTCCTTTAGCCTGCAGCGAAGAACAGAATGAATCCAGAAGAAACTGGAGAAACCTTTGTAGTCACAAATTGAAAAGATTCTCATTCATCACTGAGCACTTTTTCTGTACTATTAGCAAAGGGCATAACGTGACTGGAAAAAAAAGGAAGACCTTTTTAATCCCTTACCTTACGAATACCCGAAGGATAAAACATAAAACTGCCAAAAATTTCAGTGAACTCAAGTATGTTCTCAACAATTCACACGTGTAGCAAAACAGAAGCCGAATCAGCACATGAGCACAGTAAAGACTAAAGACAAGCTACTGAGCTGAAGGGACAAAAGGGAACAGCTCAGAATTGACCTCACACGAACAAGACGAAGAAACATGGATACCAATCCTCGGGCTCCTGATTTAACTACGAATTCAGTGAAAAAAAGGGGACCCAGCGTTCTATCCAGACGAGCCCAAATCTGTGGCGATCACCCTATTCTCTGACCCCCCCGCGATTAACCAGTATCAGACCACTAAGCCCAATCCCAAGACACCATGAAAAGCTTCACAACTCAGTAAAGCTGCTCACCTCGAAGTGATTCGGAACCCCCCAAAACGGAGCTCGAGTTGCGTACACCGTTCGGCCACACAATAAGAGGGCGCGGATGCAGCCGCTACACGGCTTCAGCGAGCGAGCGACGGGCGAACCGCCGGCCACAGAGAGAAAGCACTGTTTTTTTTTTGTCCACCCTTTCTCCTTGATCCGAGAGCAACGACCGCCCCACTCCACCCGCCCCGCTCGCAGGATAAATAAACGGAGACGGGAAAGCGAGAGGGCACCGAGTAGGTGCGCGGCCAGATTCCGGAGGGGGTGGGGAAGAGGACAAGGGGCAGGAGGCGGGAGGCGGGAGGCGGGAGGAAGGAGCCGAGGCGTGACATGGACGGCAGGGGCGGGACGGGAGGCGGAGTAGTGGAGACGCAGCGTAGCATCCGGGTCAGAAAAGCTAGGTGAGGTGACGTCCGCCTCGCGCTGGCACAGCGACGTCTCCGGCCCTCGCGCACGCGAGCGACGGCGCGAGGCCGGATGAGGAGGAGGAGCGAGCGGGGGGGAGACCGGAGACGCCTGGCCACATGGGCGCGCGCCGCGCGGCGTGGCGTCACATTTCGCCGAACGCCTTGCGGACGTCGACATGAGATGGAGAGCAGATGGCGACGGAGAAGAGGTCGCGGATGGCGCGCAGTAACTGGAATGGAATGGAGGCGTGGACCGTCAGAGTAAGTTACTAGTCAACAATTTTTGGATGCTACTGCTACGTCTACGTACCAGTAGTACTCGCAAAATGGTTCATCCACCCTTCAATTGAAGGAAGGTTTATGTTGATGTAAATTCTCGCGAAACCAGATCAAAAGTTGATCAAGTGTACTTTGCAATAGGTTATAGGTCAATTGATATGCCATTTGAACTCCGAAGTGAAAGGTGATTGTCATTATGGATCCACTAGCTAAGGTGGATGCATTGGTGGTTGTTTATAGGACGCGCGTATGTCTGTGTTGGAGACGTAACAGCGTGTCAAATACACACATGACCGCTTTTCCTCCTCGTGCTCCACCCTCTCCTGCCTCGTCGCCCACCTCCCGGTCCTGCCCCTCGACCCCGCCCTCCTCCGCGTCCTCGCCCCCGCTGCTGCCCACCGCTCGTGCGCGACCTCCTTCTTCCCCTCCCCTCTTGCCGCCACCATGTCATGGGCGTCCTCTGCCCCCTACCTGGCTTGGTTGTCTCCACCACCGCCAGAAACCTTAAAGCCGCCCTCCCGCCGTCTCCATTGCCTGGCCGATCTGTCTCCCCATGCCCCTCCTCTTCTAAGCCCGCCGGAGTTGGGGAAGGGGAGAGAGAGAGAGAGAGACTACATGCAGGAGTTGGGAAGAAGGGGGCGGTGGTGCGGCCGTTGAGGAGGCTACTACAGCCGCCAGGGAGCGCCTGTGCAGTAGGCAGAGTTTTACGGTAAGGTCTCACCTTCGAGCGTGGCCGTGGTGGGGAAGAAGAGATGCACAGAGAGAGAGGGGGGGAGTGGGGAGGGAGATGTGGGAGGTGGGTGTGTGGTGCGTTAAATGCCCGCAAGCGCAGCCCAAAGCTTTTGCCTTGTTTATAATGTCTTTTCTTTTCTATTTGGTATCGGTATTTGTTAGGACATATGAACCATGAGGGGAGGATAAAACTGTTGTTTTGCAATCTATTAGCTAAGTTGGGATAAGTAGCGAGTTAGTTGTTATTTAAAATCCTGACAATAGGTTGAGAATTCACATTACATGTTATCTATCTAGAGGTTAACTCGCACATGCATTTTTTCAAATCTGCAACGCACACACTAGTATTTCGAATAATTTTATGTCCAAAACAAGATAGAAATGAAAAAAAGAAAGAAAGAATATGTTTGTATGGTTCCAGCGGGCGACAACCTCACCGCCTGTGTGGTGAGTATGGCTCCGGCAAACGATAGCCTTGGCGCGTCCGCGATGAGCCCATGAGTATGGGTTCAGTGGCCCGACAGACGGTATTTTTTTTTATATTTAATTTGGTAATTAAGTGCGAGGAGAGGACATGGTGCGAGACCACATTTTACACGCCCCATCCGCACAGGAGGACAATTGCTCTGACTTCTCTTCTCAACCAAAGCTGTTTCTGGTTTGCCGATTTAACAAGGCTCCGACAGCGACAGGAGCCGGAGCTGCTTCAAGAGCCGTGTTACTACATGAGAAAATTTCACGACATGATGAACGACAACTTTGCTGGCTCTACGGCACACCGTACCATGTGTGGAGGAGCAGTTGCTTCTGCCCATGTTAGGTACCTGTTCATGAGTCACAAGAATCATATACATACTAAAAAAACATATCATTACACCTCCACGCAACATCACACCATGACAGACACGGCAAAATTTGTTGCCAAATCGTGTCCTGTCGGTATGGGAAATTGGCTGGATGATATGGATATATACTGAGCAAAGCGCGACCAACAATATAAGAAACTTTTCAATCTTTCGAAACTTTGTAACCATAGATTATCAACCCAGTTGATCCTTACCTAACACAACCTTTTATTTCCAGATTTTTTTTCCTTTCTAATTGACTGATGACTTCTGAAGAGAGAGCCGTCAAAAGGAGAATGTAGTGCATGCTAAGGGCGCGTTTGGCCGGGCTCCCGCCGGCTCTGGCTCCCACACTATAGCGCAACTGTAGCGCATAGGAGTTGGAGCCGGAGGAGAAAAAAAAAACGAGTTTCTCCGGCTCCGGCGCTGTCAGTGAGAGAGGAAAGGAGGAGAGAGAGAAAAACGGCTCCAGTGAACAATGTCGCTATAGAAGATGAACAGGGGAGGAGCCGGAGCCGCTCGGAGCCCGGCCAAACGGGCTCTAATATGCTATGATGTGACTTTGGCATGGAGCATATGGTTTTTGGATAACCAAGAATTGACGTGAATGTAAGCTTTATGCGAATCCTCATTAGTAATTAATTAGGCTCCGTTCGGCTTGCTGAAACTTGGCTGAAAGTGGCTGGAAAACACTGTTCTGGCTGAAATGTTGTGAGAGAAAAACAGTTTCGGCTGAAAAAAGAAGCCGAACAAGCCGGATATAAGGTAAGCCCGACGGGTTTTGGTTAGCCCACGAACCTTACTGGACAGGGCTTGGTCACAGATCCTACTGCACAGGAAAAAATTTCTTGGCCCGAACCTAGCTCGAAATACTATTTTCAGCTATTTTACATTGTAAAATGCGCGGATGGCCCGCCCAGGCCCAGGCCCGACCTGAGCCCATCCTGAAAAACTAGGCTTGACTTGCCCAGTGGGACGGTCATAGGCGGAACTTTTTCAGCCTGAAATAACGGGCTTTATTTTTTTTGGCCTAGCCCGCAAAATGTTCAGGTCTAGCCATGGCGCGCTAGGGCTAGCTTCGCCGGAGCCCTACGACAGCAGCGGCCTTCTCCTCCCTCTTGCCAGAGCTCCCACACCCCGACTTGGCAAGCCGCCTCCACTGCCGCCAAGGCCCCTAACCGCCCTCCATCCATCCCCACCGCTTGGCCGGCCTTCCTCCCCCCAAACCTTCCCTTCTAAGCCCCTCGGAGTTAGGGGAGATGAGAGGGAGAGCTCGCTAGAGCCCTAACTCGCAGATCTAGGAGGAGGAAGCTGCCTACCTCGCCGGCGCCGCCGCCGTCGGATGGGAGAGAGGGAGGAGCCATGTTGGGCGCGTTGGGAGGAGGAGCCGCCGTCGCCGCTGGAGGGTAGAGAGGGAGGAGCCGTGTGCGCGTCGGGCACGAGGTGGAAGAAGACCTAGCGCCGCACGTGGGGAGAGAGAGAGAGAGGAGACGCGTGCGCTTGGCCGTGCGTGTCCGCTGCGTCAAAAAAGTGGCCGGACGTGTTAAAGTCATTATCAGTATATATTTGGTTGTACCATATATCATGGTTGTTGGATAACCATGAGTTAATGTGAATGCTTTGCATTGGGGACTCTCGTTATTAATCATCTCTACTGATAATCTCCAATCTCTACAATCCAGATGTCCAACCACAGAATATATAATACTACTACTCATGAGGTCATCAGTCGTCAACATATATTTAACTGGTTTGGCGAAAGATGACAACCCAAATGCCATATTTTGAAGCTGATGTGTGCCCAGCCACTTTCTTCCTCCTCCTAATCATACCCCGGCTGCATGCCTTGCAACCTCTCCAACTCAACTCTATCCAGTCCAATGCCAAATAAAACCAAGACAGCGAAAACCAAACCTTGGGCCCACAAAAAGAATATACTCACTTTTGAGTCAGCACTCAGCACACACGGACACGACCAAATTCAAGAAAGCTAAAAAGACTCCTCGAGCTGAAAGAAAGAAACATCTGAAGAAAGAAACTGCACGATTTCTCGTCATAATTTAACTGGAAAAGCTGGGATTTGACAGTTACTTTACGTCTATTTGTCATTGTCGGCTTCATTCTCTTGACCTCTTCAACGTTGTTACGACCATAGGCATGTCTGGCGCTTTTTTTATGATGAATTCAGCTCGGTCTGAAATGTGTTTCCAGTGTTTGCCTCAATGCTAGAGAGTGAGCCACCCAATGTTTAGGACTTTAGGGTATGGACTTTAGACTAAACAATATGTACACGGCCATGTTTTTTACGGCACTAACACATGTTCATATATCCAAGGAATCAAAACTTTAAAAAACTGTAAAAGATGACTTTGAATCTTTGAAAGTACATCTAACCATATTGTGGGTTTTTGCCGATTAATGATACACAATCAAAGGACTAATGTGTGGCCGTGTGGGCTAAGTCTGAACCGATGCTCTAGTTCGTGTGCTCAGGTTGAGCATACCGGATGTGATGACTGGTACTAGGAGTTTTTCATGTGCACTTTTCACATATTTCCTAATGCTTGGTATTCCACGAGTCAACACGATAGCGTTTGCATTTTTAGGCCATCTACCCCCTTTTTTTTATAACTCTCTCCACTCACTTTAAGACAAATTAGTCATAGCATTAAATTCTCTCCTCCACAACTCTAGAAACTTATCACTTGAAATATTTGAAGTGTGGAGTGAGAGGGAAAAGATGGACATCAAACATTCCTTTTGAACCCTTTGAGCATTTGGAGACACCTCCTAAGACTTGAATTTGAGTTTGTTACTCTTGGATTCGATGAATCCTAGACGATAATGAGTTACTTGTTGAGCACCCTAAGTGTTTATGGAGTGTTCCTAGAAATTTCTATTATCCTTACATATTTAGTAAGAACCCTCAGGCTCGATCTTCGTGAAACGCTCAAGGAAAGGATAAGGTTGGGAGAGACCCTAGGCTCCGTGGCCTCCTCAACAACGAGGATATAGGCATTCTTTTGTGGTTTGATAAAACCTTTGTGTTTTTTGTGTGTCCTTCAGCTTGTCCCCGTTGATTTTTTGGGGAATTACCCTATCTACTTGTTCAATCATATTTGAGTGCGGTGATACTTGGGGTTACCTCTACATCTCCGAGATATTTTGATAACAAGTGATTCAAACTTATTCAGTCAAATCCATATAATTTCATAGGGGCTTTTCTACCTGATCGGACATCCAATTTCCGGTACTAGACATTCGGTTGAAACCAGAGCTCGTTTTTTTAAGCGAAAAACCAGAGCTCAGGTAAATGGAACTTAGTTCTGCAGCTAGCTTGTTTGAATTTTAAGATAATAGTCTCTTTACCCCTCTATACCTAGCTGATTCTTTCAATAATCATGGTCAATTCGTTCGTCATCATAAGAAAACTATGCCAAGAAAATCTGAAACATCCTTTCATTAACTTGGGCAAGGCTCAAAAGCAAACTATTCCAAAAAAAGGCCCATCATGATGCTAGCCCATCAAAAAGAAGGAAAAGGACCAACATCACCGCCGCCGCCCCTGCGCCTTCTTCTCCTTCCCGGCGGCAGCGCAAAGCAACAGCAGCCCATCCTATATCTCCGGCCGCCGCGCCGCCCCTGAACGGCGACGGGTATGGTGGTATGGAGGAGACGGCGAGGCAGCTCATCGCTCGCCTTGCCGCCACCCCGGACTCCGCCGTGCAGGACCTCCCCTTCCTCCACCGCGCCCTCACCCTCCCCCTCCTCTCCGCCGCGCTCCGCCTGTCCCTGCTCCTCTCGCAGCTCCGCCCGAGCCACACGCTGCCCGTTCCCATCGTCAGCGTCGGCAACCTCACTTGGGGTGGAAATGGCAAGACGCCCATGGTCGACTTCTTGGCCCGCAGCTTCCACCGCCTCGGCGTCTTGCCACTGATTCTGACGAGGGTTAAGCTCCTCTCTCTTCCTTCTCTTCGTCATTTTCTTCAAAAACTAGGCTACATTGCCTTCAGTGTCGGTGTTGGTGAACAATCCTGACCCACTTGGTGTCGCAGGGTTATGCAGGCGGCGATGAGCCAAAGATGCTCCGGAGGCGCCTTTCCGACATTTCGGCCAAGATTGGGGTCGGTGCAAATAGAACAGCAGTGGCTTCTTCCATGCTGCAAGAATATGGCTTTATCCATCATTTTCAGACCACCTGTGATGAGAAGCTTTCATCAGCCTGCAAACTGGAATCTGATAGTAGGATTGGAGTAGCTATACTAGATGACGGTATGCAGGTACATATGGAGATGCATTTTGTCTTTTTTTCTGATTTAGTAATGGTTTGACAACGTTATATGGAATTATGGATGAAGCTATCATTATGGCTGTTTACTTATATGCTCTTTCCATACATCCCTTCATTTTAGGCAGCATTGGAGCTTGCTCCGAGATGTGGAGATTGTGATGGTTAATGGGTTGGCTCCATGGGGAAACACCCATTTCATTCCACGAGGACCCATGAGAGAACCTCTGAGCGCACTTGGTCGAGCTGATATTGTGATCATCCATAATGCTGACATGGTATGTGGTAATAGAGAAATTACCGTCTCTTATCTTGTTTTGCTTTACAGCTTACTGTTGTAACATTACTATTGCACTCATGGTGTGGGTCATAGCTCTGGCAGATGTATAAAACTATGTTGTTGAAGTGTGTAGTTGATCTTGACAAGAAATTGGAGGAATATCATTGTTAGATATGAGTGATTGCTGTAGATTAGAATATGTTTACCAGACCAGAAGCAATTGATCATTGCTTGAATTGTTCTCTGAATTATCATTTTCTCCTTAACAGGCTTCTGAAGCGCAACTTAAATCAATAAGGTCCACAATAGAGGATAATAGCGCAACATGCTCAGCGTTCTACAACAGATTGGCTCCATCACATCTTTTTGAAGTTAAGCAACCATTACAGAGACTTCCCCTTAATGTGTTGAATGATAAGATCGTGCTATGTGTTTCTGCAATTGGCTGTCCAAATGCTTTCATTCATACAGTCAGAGAGGTACTTTTTTTTACTTGTGTTTATTTCCATTGTGCAGAACCTCTTGGCATTACATATTCTCTGCCGTAATCCTGTTTGTGGTGGGAATACAACATGAACTGTTGGAAACATGTTATTGTTTGCAAGGGTTGAACCTGTGAATGCCCTGCTTAGAAATTTGTTGTAGCCTGCACTAGTTATTACACACCTATTTCCTTAATCAATCGGAAGCATTTGGTCCTTTCCTGTACTAAACATTATAAAGTGAAGTAATTCATTAAGCACAAAATCCAAGCCCATTCCATCCTTATTCAATTGTAATATCTCTCCTTGCTGCTGCAGATTGGTCCACTCAAAGTTGATAGGTTGGATTTCAGTGACCATCATTTCTTCAATGCTCATGTAAGTGCAGCCATCTCTTTTATTTCTCACCGCTGCTAAATTCCGCACAAACAAATCAAGATGCCTACTTTAAAAATGAGTCTTTAAACAGAACGCACACCGATATGTAGTCCAGCATGTACATGCACCCTGTTCTACTTATTTGACTGCAAAATATATGAATAACTACCTGTAATGATGCAGCAAACTACTTCTGTTCTCTGCTAAAGCAATAGAATACCCATAGATTCTGTGATTGTGTATTTGATTAGTGATGGCTATTTTCCATTCATCATGTGATGGTTGCCTTTTCTCTTATTATTATTTACCTCCAATAGGACCTCAAGATAATCCAAGAAACAGCTTGGAATCTCGTGGACCAGCACAGGAAAGATACCATAGTCTTAGTGTCGGATACCACAAGAAGGGGTACCCTAAGCAAGAACTGAAAATATTGCTTAAGCCTTGCAAAAATCAAAGCCAAAGGACAACCACGAGGTCTCGGCAGATTCTCCGACTCGCCCAAGGCTTGCGCCGAGGCCTCAGACGAAAGGCCAAAGCCCTCCGCCCCGCCGAGGCCCTCTCGCCGAGGCCCCGTCCCGCAAGGCCTCGGATGGGATATCAATTCTCCGATTCGCCCGAGGCTGGGCTCGGCAACAACCTCGTCACCTCCGTCCCGACCGACTCCCCTGACAAAACATCACGTCCAGTTAATGCGCCCCACTACTCCCGCAACGTCAGCCGCACGTCGGCACTGTACAGGCGGAATGACCGACGGGACAGGGGACCGAAATACTGCCCTGTGCTGCCTAACTCCTGCGCCAAGGACAAAGTGGCGTGGAGGGTCAAGTCCGGGTCCCAGTAGTCTCGGAATCAGCATGAAAGACCAACCGTTCGTCCTCCGCCTCGTCCGAGACCCCCCGGCAGGGCCTCGGACGTACTATTCCTTCTCCGCCTCGGCCGAGGCCGGGCTTGTCCCGCATCCTCGTCGCCTCCGCCTCGTCCGAGACCCCCCGGCAGGGCCTCGTACGTACTATTCCTCCTCCGCCTCGGCCGAGGCCGGGCTCGTCCCGCATCCTCGTCGCCTCCACCTCAACCGTCCCTCTGGCGAGCCGTCACATCCGTTTAAATGCACCTGGTCGCACCTACTACGCCAGCCACGACTGACAGGGTACAGCAACAGGGGCGATGGGACAGCGGTCAAATCTCCTTTTTACCATCCCCTACTGACGGTGCATGGGTTACCGTGCCCTATGGACACACGCTCCGCACTTCTCCGCCTGAACCGGGTATGACCCTGACCACCGAGACCCCCGCATCATACACGGGTCACCTCCGAGGCCTCGACAAAATAGGCCTCGGCACGATCAGCTACAGCACCCGCCAGGCCTCGGCACTCCACCAAGTCAAGAACACACGAGGCGCGGCATGCCTCCTACAGTGGAAGCCATACTGACTGATGTCAACAAGGACTCCCATGACCTCAACAACCTCGGGCCTGGCCAGCACGGCGCGCCAGTCAAGTACCAATCGCCATCCCCAACACTATGCAGCTACAGGACTGAACTACAGTAGGCTCCACGTATAGCTCACTCATGTACTCCTGGCTCCCTCCTTGCGGTTATAAAAGGAAGCAGCCAGGGATAACATAAGGGGGGAGGAGAAAGGAGGAGAAAAGAGGAGAAAAGAGGAGAAATAGGAAGAACACCTGGTAGCTCACACACACACACATCCCAGCCGCCTGAGAGCAACGTCTCAAGCAGCCCACATGACACCTCGCCGAGACCTGGGACTAGCTCCCTCTCTCCCTGTGCTTGTAACCCCCTACTACTAGCACTTCGGTGCAAGGAATACAAGATCGATCTCTCAGACTGGACGTAGGGCATCGATTGCCTGAACCAGTATAAACCTTGTGTCTCTTTGCATCACCATCCGAGATTAGGGGCACGCAGTTCAAATTCACTAGTTGGTAGAGGACCCCCGGTCCGAAATACCAACCGTTGGCGCGCCAGGTAGGGGCCTCTGCATGTCAGTTTTGTCATCCCAACAAGTTCCGGATGGCAGACCCCGTACGACCGTTACGTCTCGGCACGGTGACCTGGTTTGGGGGCCTAGAGTTCATGTCTCTGGGGCATGAGTACGACATGGTACTCCTCACGCCCCGAGCCCCACCAACCGACGGTGACGTCACGCACCGGCAGCCCGGGCGCAGGCGGCGCCTGGGCGGCTGCTCTCGCCGTGCTCGCCAAGCACGACGCGAGCAAGACCACCCCAATGCTACTCGAATCTAGGACGGCACGCCGCTCCCCGCCGACATCCTACGACCAGCTGTTGGCACAGGCTCCCTAGCTGGGGACCTGTCTAGCCTGAGCTTGGACGAAGGAAAAATGCCGGCGGCACGTGGCGATGCCCAGTCACCAAGCTCCGCTCCACCACTCCCTGAAGAGCTAGTTTCGGCGGAGCAAAGTCCAGCGACGGCACCATCCTCATACCCCTTTGGGTTGAGAAATGCCGCCACCTCTTATGCTTACGCTTACGCCGCCGCTCACAAGGATCCCCCAGAACACCGCCAGCGCTTCACTCTCAACCTGGGCACCCACGCCGACTCCTCGAAGGAGGACGAGGAATGGCCCAGAGTAGATTTCTCTGGACTCCACGACCCCGGGGCTATGCGCCGTTTCCTGGCCACAAGCGACTACTGCTTCGGCTACTCTGACTCCGACAACGAGGGCACCTACGACCCCGCTCGCGAGTGTTTCCACGTCGGGCTCGGGATGCCGAGGGCGGGCGAGGAAGATGAGGGGGTGGGTAGCCGTTCCCCGCTTCGCCCAGGTACAGGCGCCGCCACACCTCCGCGCATTCTCCTACCGGCAGCACGAAACAAGAACCCTGCTCTTGTGCAACCTCAACGTCCAGACCTAGAACAGCTCCGTGAGCTCCAGGCCAAGGTCGAACAGGACCGACTCCTTCTACAGCAGCTTCGAGACTCTCTCGAACTGGAGCAGCGAGGTCGCGGTGAAGGCGGAGGAGCCCGACGAAGGGCCCACGATGTACATCATCGCATCCACGACGACGACAAAGGGAGCGAGCAACCCCCAGTCTTCAATCGCGCCAGCCAGAACGTCGCGGCCGTGGCAATGCTGGTCCGCGCGATGCCCGAGCCTTCTACCACGGAGGGGCGGCGGGTCCACGGCGAGCTCCGAGAGCTCCTAGAGACCGCCGCGGTTCAGTAGGCCGAGAGTTCCGCCTCCCGGCGGCACAGGGGTGTCTCGAACCTGCCCGTGGCACCACCTCGACAAGACAGGGAAGCCTCGGCTCATCCCGAGCCCGCTCGAGCACCGATAGCCCACAGGGCCCCCATGCTTCTGGACCACCTCGGCAACCGACACGATGTGCAGGAAAACCATGAGGTGGTCAGCAGGCGACGACACCACGACAGCGAGGGGCCCACTCGGGGCTACCACCCACACCGAGGCGGCCGCTATGATAGAGGGGAGGACAGCAGTCCTTCCCCTGAACCGCCAGGCCCTCGGGTCTTCAGCAGGGCCATCCGCGCTGCTCTTTTCCCCGCCCGATTTCGGCAACCAGCCAATCTCGCGAAGTACAACGGCGAGACCAACCCCGAACTCTGGCTTGCCGATTACCGCCTGGCCTGCCAGCTAGGTGGCGTGGATGATGACCTGCTCATCATCCGCAATCTCCCCTTGCTCTTGTCAGACTCGGTGCGAGCCTGGCTCGAGCACCTCCCTCCCTCACAAATCCACGACTGGCGCGACTTGGTTGGGATCTTCGTCGGGAACTTTCAGGGCACATACGTGCGCCCTGGGAACTCCTGGGATCTTAAGAGCTGCCGCCAAAAGTCGGACGAGTCTCTCCGAGACTTCATCCGGCGCTTCTCCAAGTAGTGCACCGAGTTGCCCAGCGTCGGCGATTCAGAGATCGTCCAGGCTTTCCTCTCTGGCACCACCTGCCGAGATTTGGTTCGAGAGTTAGGTCGGAACATGCCGCGCTCCTCGACATCGCTACCAACTTTGCCTCGGGTGAGGAGGCTGTCGGAGCCATCTTCCCCGACAGCAACACCAAGGGTAAGCGTAGGGATGAGGCCCCCGAGGCCTCAGCCTCCCACCTCCCCAAGAGAAAGAAAAAGGGCCGCCTGGGGAAGTAGGAGGTCCTGGAGGCCGATCTGGTCACGGCCACAGAACGCAAGAATCCCCAAGGCCCCAAAGGCCCTAGGCCTTTCGATGACATGCTTAAGAAACCCTGCCCTTACCACCAAGGCCCGGTCAAGCACGCCCTCGAGGATTGCTCCATGGTGCGGCGTTACTACGCCAGGCTTGGGCTCCCCGACGACGCCGCCAAGCAGAAGGGCGCCGGCGACCGGGACGACGATAAGGACGACGGGTTCCCCGAGGTACGCAACACCTTCATGATCTTTGGGGGACCCTCGGCGTGCCTTACGGCATGGCAGCGCAAGAGGGAACGTCGAGAGGTCTTCTCGATCAAGGTGGCCACCCCCCAGTACCTCGACTGGTCTCGGGAGGCGATCACCTTCGATCGGGACGACCACCCTGACCATGTTCCGAATCCCGGACAGTACCCACTGGTCGTTGACCCGATCATCGGCAACACCCGACTCTCCAAGGTGTTGATGGACGGAGGCAGCGGCCTCAATATCCTCTACGTCAATACCCTAGAGCTCTTGGAGATCGACCGGTCGAGGCTCCAAGGAGACGTCGCACCCTTCCACGGCATCATGCCAGGGAAGCGCACACGACCCCTCGGGCGCATCGACCTTCCCGTCTGCTTTGGCACTCCCTCCAACTACCGTAAAGAAGTCCTTACCTTCGAAGTAGTCGGGTTCGGGGGAGCCTACCACGCTATCCTGGGGCGGCCGTGCTACGCCAAGTTCATGGCAGTCCCCAACTATACCTATCTCAAGCTCAAGATGCCAGGCCCCAGCGGTATCATCACGATTGAGTCCACGTACGAGCATGCATACGACTGCGACGTCGAGTGCATCGAGTATGCCGAGGCTCTTGCGGAGGCCGAGACCCTCATCGCCCTCCTCGACCAACTCAGTGGCGAGGCGCCTAACTCCAAGCGTCGCGCAGGGGCGTTCGAGCCCGCGGAGGCCATCAAGCTCGTCCCAGTCGACCCCGCCTGCCCCGACGACCGAGTGCTGAGGATCAGCGCCACCCTCGACATCAAATAGGAAGCCATGCTCGTCG